TTGAAAATGCTCTAATTAGATTAAATGAAAATCAAATATGCCTGAAGCATAAGAGATTAACTGATTCCTAATACAAAATCTTGGTAAAAGAGAAGCATGTAATTGAGATGATCATATTGAGGAGGCATATACTCTAGAAGAGGGTTAAGACATAATTGATTTTAAAAGCCCATAAGAGGTTTAGGTGCATGAAAGTAATAAAGATAGATCTCAATAAGTTATGTCACACTTAGAAAAATGGAACCAAAAAGATAAAGTTGTTGACAACAATTTTGATGATAATATCATGTGATTAAATGAGGATCTTGTATACAAATTTGTCATAAAAAGTAGACAAACAATGATTGGCCAAACAAAAAAAGACAAAGGAAAAGACGCAATATGAGTATAATTATATTAATTTTCAACATGTGAAAATCATGGACATGCATTCCAAATACGTGAATTGTAAATGTTATTATGGGATAAATGAACATTTATGTTTTAAATAAAGATTTTCACAAAGGTCTAATGATGATCATGTTTATTACCTTGTGGATTTTTTATTTAACTTTCTAGTGTGTTGTTAGCAAATTACTAATTATAAGAGTAAAATAAATAGATTGTTCACTATGATCTCTTAAATAATTTTAATATTTATTTATGATAATCATTAATTGAATAGTCTATAATTAGCAAGTTAACACCATTGAAAGAGAATAAATTAAATGTACAGATGAATAATTGAGTATTGAAATATGTATTGAAATGGAGTATGTAACGAATCCAAACCCGTGGAATTGCCATGCATGAATGGAGTTTTATGGAGCATGCTTGGTGTGATCTCCAACAAAAATGACAACTTCATCGATTTCCTCAACAAGGGATCTCAGTCAAAACCTTAATTTCCTAATTGGCCATGTGATCCCTATGTTATTTCAAAATAGTTAATGCGTTAAATTCGGTCAATGCAATAATGGGTTTAGTCTCTAGAAAGCAAAAGGCTGTACAATAATTATCGTTCTAGAAAATACATTAATTTTTAATTTCTTGTTTTTTGGAAATTACAAAGACCCTTATTAGATTTTTTTTAATTTCATTTTATTTCAGTTATTTAATTTAATTATCGATCTCTTGAAAATATTCCTTAAAAATTTTAACAGAGATTTTATTTATTAAAATTTGTATTAAAATGGCATAAAATTACTAATTACTATTTACCTAATTTTCATTTCACCTTAATCTTACCTGGATATGCCTCTTTCTTAAAATTCAAACCACCAATTTCATATCCCACATCCATTTTATAGAATTGGTTTTCTTGATCACTCCATTTTTTGTTGTTAATTCTTCTGTCTCTATATCCATTTTTATGTGGTTTCCATTCCTCACATCCATTTTCCTTGCTTTGAGAGTTCAATATTTGACAGCCTCTACTCAAGAGGATGAACTTTTCGTTCTTTTTCTTTTTCATAAAAAATATACTAAATTGTGTTCTTTAGGACACATAAATTAACAAATGCAGCTTATTAGAATTTTTTATATTGTATATAGGTTTTTCATATTTTATTGATATATATTTAAACATTAACAAAGCATATATATTATTTAATTATGAATAACATGCGGCTCAATTTTTGGATTCCATACAATTTAATAGGACTCAAAAGTTAGAGAGATCAAAGAAAGTGTAATGTGCACGAGCTCAAAGACAGAGCCCATTCTAAAAAACTAGCCTATTAGGTGGAAGAGCCTTTTGAACTTATAAACTCCACATCACTTGTGAGACTCCCTGATGTGAGACTCATGATAGTGCCACTTTGTCAAAAGCCGACATCTACGATAGCTTCACTACACAGCACTTCACTCAGCCTCCTTCCAATACCTTATTAGCTAAATGGAAACAAATTAAAATGTCATTTTTTGAAGTGCAACCTTGAATGAACAATGAAGAAAATGTAATGAGCACAAGTTCAAAGAAGAGCCTATTCTAAAAAACTAGCTTGTTGAGTGAAAAAATATTTTGAACTTATAAACCCTACGCCACTTATAAGGCTCCTCAATATGGGACTCATGACACTGCTACTCTGTCAAAAGCCTACATCCAGGGCACTTTACTCAGTCTCCTACTAATACCTTATTGGCTGAATGGAAACAAATTAAAATGTCATTTTTTGAAGTGCAACCTTGAATGAACAAACAATGAAGACTAAAAAAGTAATCAAGAGGTGAAAAAGTAATCAAGAGGAGAAAAGAAATACACACACACACATATATATATATAATCAACGTGTGGTACATAAAAGATACTGGTAAGACAAAGAAAAGGAGAAATATGAATAGTGCCTGAGTGATGGTACCATCAAGAAGTTTTACTGAAATTCAGGTAAAGGTTTGAAGAGTGTTTATACAATCCCACCATGCATGCTTATATACATTGTGTCTTGCTTCTATTTTATATTACAAATCAACAATTTTCATTTTAGTACCACATTTTTTAAGATCACTTGTTGCTGTTCTATTCAGATTTCTTTCATTTCCTCCCATTTGCTTGAAGTTGATTGAATGGATTTTTGCTTCTATATAACTTCCACCCTTATCTTGTAGAAACTTTTTGACTTCTTTTGGCTTGGGTAAACAATAGTATAGTATTCTTTTCAATTTTATTCATAAGTCATTTCTAACTACTTTATCTAAAGATGTGATTAAATTATTGATATTGTCTAAAAAAGCAAGAAATTTCTCAACTCATCTTTGTTAAATGCATTATCTTTAAAAATGCTTTATCTCTCATATAATTTTTTACTTTTTACTCATCAAAAATTGTGAAATCGTAAAATTGGAAGAAATTAATCAAAAACGTACTTTTTAACCAAAGTGACTTCTTGTAAAAAGGACCATAAATTTCTTGTAGAATGTGACTTATCTATAGAACCAGAGGGAGTACTATATTGGTATTAATTGTTAGAATTCAAATTATTTATCATTATTTAATTTTCACTGTAATACAACATAGAAAAACAAACCAGAGATGGTTGACTTGAAAAAAAAATTGAATAAGAGCTTTGGACAACTATACTTATATGAAACAAGGAATTAAATTCTGTTGGGATTTTATGATTAAAGTCAACTGTAACTTTTAAATAAAAAAGTTAACAATTATTTTTTTTTCCAATTTGCGTACATCTCTACCCATATTTTCATAAATTAATTTTGTCTTTACAAAATCAATAATATTTTCAACTCATGTGTTGAAGGAGCTAAAAGTATAAAATCAGTTGTCTCGTTGAAATTAGCCATGTATATCCTTACTACTATTTTATAGTGAAAATAAAGCCTTTGATTAGAGTCAAAAATAACGGCCACCGGGCCTAAAGGGCCAAGCTTGGAGGATCTGTTTAAATAAAGGTTTAAGCTTTAAAAATAATTTTTTTTTAAAGTAATCAAGCTTGATGGCTTAATCCTAATAAACCCTATAAAAAAAGGGGCTCAGGCTCGAGTTTGGATGGCCTTTCAAGCTCTATTATATTATTATTAATTTTTTTTTGGCAGAATACGTATTTAAAGCCAATGACCTGGTCACTTGATTCTACACACATTATATTACTATTTTTAATTTATTCTATAATTAATTTAATAAATATCAGTGTATAGTATAAAATTTTTGATATATTTTATTTTTCTATAACTATTATATTTGTGTATTTATAAAAAAATGAACTATTTTTTAATCAAGATTTGAATTTTATTACTAGATTTCTAAATGTGTGTTGTTTAATTTCTAAAAAAATTATGAGGATTTTGATTTTTTAATTTTAAAATATTTTAATTAATTTATAATGCTTAATTTTATTTTTATTTTTTATTTTTTAAACAAGGCTTGCGGCCTTGGCCTTGAGCCCTTTACATAAAGGTCGGGTTTGAGAAATAAGGCTAAAAATAAAAAATCGAGCTTTAGGGTTTAGGCCTTTAAGGGCCAAGCCCATAAGAGCTAGTACCGCCCGTTTTCTCATCTCTATTTTTAATTTTTTTTACACTTTCACTTAATTTTGAAATAGGTTTTTGACAAAATTGCTAGTAAGTCCTCCTTAGGGTCAAAATTGTGCTAGAGGACCAAAGAACTATGATGCAAGTGGATAGATTTGAAATTTCATGGCTATCTACTCGCACCCTAGTTGATTGGTCTTCCAACACAATTTCAATCTCAAGGAGGAATTTATTAGCAATTTTTCCCAGGTTTTTATACTTAATATTGTTTATAAAAATGTATAAAGAATTCCTAAAGGTAAGTTGGATAGTGTAAAAAATTTTAAAGTTAAAAGAAAAACGAGGTGAGATTTGAAATAGAAATAAAAGATTGGAAGTAATGGTCTCAAATCTATTTTTCAATCGGTAAGAGATAAGAATGATAAATGAGAGGAGTGATGACAATAGGCACGGATGGTATAAATATAAATAGCTGAAATTTTAAATAACAAGTATGTAGAGAAAATTTAAAATTATGATAAATAAATTATAATAAATATAGATTTGGATTTAATTTAAACCAAAAAAATATTATGTATTCAAATGAATGATTTGGTTCAAATTCAAATCAAAACCAAAATCTTCATGCATCCAAAAACACCATAAGGCTTCACCTGCAAAATTAATTAAGTGAACATTTGATTGGTTTTTTTTTTTTTCCGGGTTCAGCCTCAGTTTCATCATACGAAAGTGCTGCAATTAAGCACTGCTTGTATGAATGTCGCCTACGTGAAAAACAAATCTTACACAGATATTGTTCTGTAACAAGTGGTTCAAAATTAAAACAGCTCTATCACCCTTTGACGTAAAATTTAATAGAGAAGCGCATTACAAAAAATGGATAGAAAAATTTGAGAATTGATGTTCAATCAAATTAAGAGGTTAATATATATATATATATGCTCATAACAGCCTCGTCTTCAACCTCATTTCTGAACCTTTGGTAAATGAATTAAAATTAATAAAAGTACAGTAAGAACAGATTAACATAGATTCTAAGTTTCAATCGAGAAAAGATCAAAAAAAGCCCTCAATATAAACTCATGATTTTTCTTCTCATTAGCAATCAAATAACAACTCAATAACTCCTGCAATCTCTCCCAGTCCTTCACTTCATGAAACTCTATCATCTCTTTCATTGACTTCTTGAAGTCCTCGTAGGGATCATTTGAGTCCAAAGCCAAAAACACACTACTTTCACAAAAACTAACCTCATCATCAGCCTTCTCTTTTCCTTCCATTGTTGGCTCTATTATTTGAGATTTCGAATTCGAACCTTGATCAGTCACTGAGATAGCTTTATTGGTTGCTTGTTGTTCTATGCCTGTCTCTAAAACTGAGCTCGTGTTGCTATTAGGCTCGAAAAATAGCCTCTTCGATGACCTCACAATCTCATAAACTAAATTCTCCAAAGAGTGTGCGTTCTCGCGGTGGTCAGAATTGTCGCAGTAATTAAGAAGGTCTAAGTCAACCGATGATGATGATGAGAAGCTTTTTGGTTCAAATGTTGATGACGAGGTTGTGAACCGGTTGGACCAGAGGGTTTGAGCCGGGTCAACAAATGTGTGATTGGGTTTTCGAAAAGAGAGGGTGTTTACTTGAGCACAATAGGGCATGAACTGACATGGATTAAGTTTTGGAGCACAACGCTTGGTGGTCTTGAACAAAGATGATAGCTTCATATTGATTTCCTCACTTTTGGATCTCAGAAACCCTAACTTGGTTGAGGAAGAGACTAGTGTGTGGGAGGAGTTCTTTTGACATGGTGTAACATTAATAATTTCGGTCTCTGTGCAATGATGGTTTTGCAGAGACTATTCTGAGACCTTTTAATTTTAATTTATTGTAATTTTGAAGTTGAAATTTTAGTCTAGTTATTTAACTCTCTTAAGAATATTCCAAAAAAAAAAATTTGAATTATTGACTTTTGTTTGTTAATTGAATTATATATCACAATTGCTTAACAGTTATAGTATTTTGCCAAATATTCAATTAACCTAATGAATCCTTCTGCCTGATACTCTGAATATCGTTCCATTCATCCCCCAATATTAATTCGGCCATAAAATGTAGGGCCCGCTAGCATTTTGAGCCCAGAAATACCTAGTTTTAGTGTACCTAGGGCATGTTTGGTGTTGAAAAGGGAATTGGAAAATGATTCCTTTTAGAAGCAAGTCTCGTATACACTTAAATATACATTCCCAAGAATCCCAATTCTAACAAATTAAGCAGAATCTGATTCCATTGTCATCGACTTCAACATTCTATGTGCCTCATGTCTTTGTGATGGCGACCTTTATAGATGATTGATTTGAAGATCTACCTCCAATTATAATCTTCAATTCTACCCTTTATCTTTTTCTTCGATCTTGTTGGATTCCATTGATGATGTTTTCATCTTTTTCGAAGTTTTGATTTCTAGTGGATTTTTTCTTTGCTATGTGATTGGTTGTTTGCAATGTTCTTGCTCTTGTTCTATTATATTGTCCATTGGGTTTCTTGTTCTGATTTGGCAGTGAAGGAGAGGGATGGAAGAGATCTTTCCCATTTTTAAATACATGTACTTATTAAAATTATACCAAAATGTTATCTCTATATCATATATACTTTTATAACTTAATTATATTTCAATTCTAATTCCAATTTGTCATCAAAAACTTTTGGGTTAATGAGCAAAATAGACCCTAAATTCTTGTTTGAAAAGTGCTCTGGATCCTAAGCTCTTAAAATGTACAAAATAAATTCTAAACTTTTAAATTTGTAGTAAAGTAAATCCTACTGTTATCTTTTTTAAACTCCATTACTATTCACTATGGGTCCCAATTAATTAGCATCACAAACCCTAAACTATTATACGAGTAACGTCCTAAATCCTAAATTTTAAAAATTTGTTGCAAATTACCCCCACTGTTTATGTATAGAACTTTGACTATGATGTAAATCAAATTAACCTTAGCGTAATTTGCCGCATTGAATGCATCATTAGCCATTGCAAATGAATCATAATTTTGTAAAATGATGCTTTTTGCCCTTTTTTGTAACCTTTTTTAAATGATTGGTATTTCATATATTCATATATTTTACACTCTAATTTAGTCTTATTCTCAATAATATTTATTTATTTAATGGTGAAAACTTAAGATTTCATTAAAAAAGAAGTTTAAATATCAGAGAATTTTAATTAACAGGTTACTTTGGGTTTTAAATTTGTTGATGAAATCATTAGTTTTTGCATATATTGTCTGTAAAATCATATGATACTTAAACTTCTTTTTAAAAGGGATCTCAATTAAGTTTTCACTATTAAAAAAATAAAAATTATTTAAAATAAAACTAAATCGAATTTAAGAGTATATGGAAGAATAAGATACCAATCGTTTAGAAAACATTACAAAAAAAAAGCAAAAAATATCATTTTACAAAATTATGAGTCAATTGTCATGACCAACAATGTATTCACTAAGGCTAATCTAGTTTACATAATAATTAACATTCTATACATAAATAATGGGGGTAATTTACTCAAAATTTTAAAGTTTAGAGCCCATAAAGTTACTCGCGTGATAGTTTAAGGTCTATAGCATTAATTAACTAAGCCCATGGTTAATAGTCACAGCATTAAAAAAGATAATGATAGCATTTAATTTTCTACAAATTTAAAACTTTAAAGTTTATTTTGCACATTTTAAGAGTTCAGTGTCCAAGACGCTCTTCGAATATGAGTTTAGGGTCTATTTTGTTTATTAATCCAAAACCTTTTCATCATACCAAATAGTGCCTAGATGAATGTTCCATATGAACAACACTATACTTGGACAGTTTATATTTTTATTATTTTATTTTTTGTCTTTTAAATAAAATTATTATTCTTTATACTTTGATATCATTAAGTTGTCATTTATTTTTATAATGTTCACTTTAAGATTTATAAAGAGTAAATAAATATGAAATTGAAGGAAATGTAATTTACAGATTGACCAAATCTCATATAGATAATTGCAAGATCATTATATTATTTTGAAAAGTTTTAATTAGTGTTACCTCTGCACGTAGAAACTAGCAATTCAAGCCTTCTCAGATATACATAATATGAGCAAATTATAATCTAGTACGTAGAATTAGCCAATGCAAATGCGATATAAGAGAAGGGGAATTTCAATAAATTTAAAACTTGAAAAATAAAACGCATAAATCAAAGAGAAAAAAAACATAAAATAGAAGTCAAAATGAATTTAAAAAGTCACACAGTTCAAGACAAGTGTACAATTGAATACGAGAGAGGGAAACAACATTATGTATCCTAGTGTTGTTTATATATAAATATATGGCTAACCTACACAAACTGAAAATGTGCAATTGGATTTCAATGATACAATTTCACAATAAAGCAAACTGAATTAGGAAACGGAGTCTAGATTTTCTACTTATATAGTACGTACTTGGAAAATATTTGACAAAATACATTATTTAAGATACAGCTTACACTACAAAAAAAGTGACTTTTAGTGGTGACAAATGTCGCCGCTGAAAGTCAAAAAGTTACCACTAAAAGTTTAGCGGCAACAAAAAGTCACCATAACATCACCATGAGAGCTCCTGTCATTGATTCAATTTGCGACGATAATAAAAGTCATCACTGAAAGTTGAGAGTCGGCGGCAACAAATGTCGCCGTAGAAAAGAAAATTTATTGTAACTAAACGATAGTCGCCATTGAAAGTTGAAAATCGACAGCGTCATTTTGTCACCGCAAAAACCACACATTAATGATGATTGTTTTTGTCACCACTGAATGTTAAGTATCAGTGGTAACATTTGTCGCCACAAAAGCTACCAATTTGCAGCGACAAAAAAGTTACCGCTGAAAAGTAATGTCAGTTCACTTACACATATGGCACCACGTCACCATCCACGTGGCACCCACCTCACGCCACGTGGCATCATGTCACTTTCCATGTGTCGCACTCACCACACGCCACCACACGCCACGTGTCATCATGTCACCAATTTATATTTTCATTTTGAAAGTTGTCTCTTCCAAGGTTTGAACTTGTGACCTTCTCCTTTTGTGCCCAACTGTTTTGCCACTGAGCTGGAATGAACTTGTAATCTATTATTACATAATTAAATATATATATATACACACACACACACACATATTATTAAACTATACAAACACACACATATATTAAATATTAAATATTATAAAATATCATTACTATCCTTAAATACTTCAATTTAATTCTTTTAATTCATAAAATTATAAATTATATTATTTATTTTGTTTAAAGTAAATGTAAATATAATTAATACAATATCATTTGTATTATTTATTTTAATTTTTTTACTTCTTGAGGTTGTTATATTATTTATTTTAATATTCATATTTATAATTATACTATAAAAATATCTAAGAATAAATAGTAAAAATATTGATGATTATACATTACTTTATAATTATTTATGTTTCTAAACTAGCATCAAGCTTTAAAGTTACTAGTATTAAATGTAGAATTTAAATTAAAAAATTAGATTAGATGAAATATCATTCTATAAATGAATAAATTTAAGTATCATATGTTTAATTATTATAAACAAGTAGTGTTATTGACTTCTACATTGATCTGATAACTTATGCTTTCTCTCTCTTCTCTTATATCTTGAATATTTAAGATTTTTTACTTATTGGTTATAATTTTAAATTTAATTTTTTTTACTTATTAATTAGTCAAAAAATATATATTAAAAATTTCATGCTTATTTTGGCCATTAAACATCTTAACTGGCTTTTGAATAAAATTATCTAAATAAATTTCAGTTTATCTAACAGACTTCTAAAAAAAAACATATCCAAACATAAATCATATTACATTTACTGACTTTTCTTCTAATCTTATTTTGCTAACCTCAGTTGAACCTTAACCTTAGTTGTAAATTTTTTAATACAAACACACATGTAAAATAATATGGTTTGACTTAATTCTTTACTTTAGTTCGTTAGCATTAAATAATATCTTAACCTTATCTTAAAGTTATAATTTAACCATAGAATATATTAAATGAAAACTCATTATGTAATTTTATATATTCATTATAAAATTACAATAATACAAAAAAAAATTAATGTCTTAAAATGTTAAATATTAGATAAATAAAAATAAAAAATTATGATGATAATACAAAATCAAACTTTCAATGGCGACATTCGAAGTTGCCACTAAAAGCCTCATTTTCAACGGCGACACCAAAAATTCGCTGCTGAAAGTCAACTTTTAGCAGCGACTTGTATGTCGTCGCTGAAACTTGCAACATAATTTTTTAAAAAAATTATAAAAATGTTGACAATCAGTGGTGACACTAAAAAGTCGATACTGAAACTTACAACATAATTTTTTTAAAAAAATTATAAAAATATTGATAATCAGCGGCAACACCAAAAAGTCATCGCTGAAAGTTGACTTTCAGCGGCAACTTATATGTCGTCACTGAAACTTACAACATAATTTTAAAAAAAATTATAAAAATGTTGACAATTAGCAGTGACACCAAAAAGTCATAGCTGAAAGTCGACTTTCAATAGAAACTTTTTAGTGTCGTCGCTGAAACTTACAACATAATTTTTAAAAAAAAATTATAAAAATGTTGACAATCAACAGTGACACTAAAAAGTCACCACTGAAAGTC